TCTGACCAGACCAATAAAGGTCTTGGCATCAATAAATCGCGTTTATCACGTGGGGACGCGTTCCGACACGCTCATCCTCCGTCATTTCCAGGGAGCTTTACTGGGAGAAACTGGTATAATCGGTAACAACCAAATTGGCAGAACTAGATTTAGCCCCTTCAGATTTGGTCTTCGCCTCCGGGTAACATATCATGGCTGCCAACTTTTTCAACAATAAAGCCCGTGCTGCGGCCGCAGCATCGAGCAGTTCAAAGCAGAAGCCGACAGATGGAAAAGAGGAACATGCACAGCAACAGCCATGGGTTGAAAAATAGTATGTACTGTTCCAAGTGACTGTTACTTAAAGGATCTGGCTAACAATTTCTTTCAGCCGTCCTAAGACGCTAGATGATGTCGCAGCCCAAGACCATACAACAAACGTGCTCCAACGGACGTTACAAGCTTCCAACGTGTGTTAATTCCCTACTTGAGACAAGCGAATCAACCATTAACATAATTGGAAATAAAAACAGCTGCCTCATATGCTCTTCTACGGACCTCCCGGTACTGGAAAGACATCGACGATTCTCGCCCTCGCAAAATCCCTATTCGGACCTGCTCTGTATCGTTCACGTATCCTTGAGTTGAACGCTTCGGACGAACGTGGTATTGGCATTGTACGTGAGAAGGTCAAGGGCTTTGCGAGAGTACAACTCAGTCACCCTACGGGGGTCGACAAGTCATACTTCGAGAAATACCCATGTCCACCGTTCAAGATCATCATCCTTGATGAAGCAGATAGTATGACCCAGGATGCTCAATCTGCTCTTCGACGCACAATGGAAACCTATAGCAAGATCACACGTTTCTGTCTTGTTTGTAACTACGTCACCCGAATCATTGAACCACTGGCCAGTCGATGCAGCAAGTTCCGTTTCAAACCGCTGGATAACTCGGCTGCGGGCGATAGACTTGCACATATTGCAAAATTGGAGAACCTGGAGTTGGAGGATGGCGTCGTTGACAAATTGATTCAGTGCAGTGAGGGTGACTTGCGACGCGCAATCACATATATGCAAAGTGGAGCTAGGCTGGTAGGAGCTAGCGGAAACAGCGGTAAACAGGATGGAGAGGAAGACGCTCAGATGACAGATGCTAGTTCACAGGTGATTACTGTGAGGATGGTAGAGGAGATTGCTGGCGTGATCCCAGAGAGTGTTCTAGACCAGCTGATTCAAGCTATGCAACCAAAGAAGATCGGTTCCGCCTACGAGGCTGTGTCCAAGGTAACTACGGATATTGTTGCGGATGGGTGGAGTGCGACGCAACTGCTTGCACAGGTACGTTCTTATATGAACTTTTCCATCACGCGATGCTAACAATGGACAAGCTTTACCGCCGAGTGGTTTACAATGACGCCATTCCTGATATTCAGAAGAACAAGATCGTCATGGTTTTCTCCGAGATGGATAAGCGCTTGGTCGACGGTGCGGATGAACATCTGTCAATTTTGGACGTGGCTCTGAAGATCTCTTGTATCTTGGGCGGCGCCTAATGGCCAGATATTAAATGAGAGATAATCTCAATGGCCATCCATCTGTATATGTATGAGGATATCTCCCGCGAATCTACTCTAATCACACCATCCGACAGTAACCCTCTGTCGGACTCCCTCATTCGAGCTTATGGCCCTAATCCAGCGGTGGATTCAAGCTGTGAAGCCACCAGCGCACGGGCATAACAGAACATGGCTCGTCCTGATGTTTCAGCCGGACAGGTTTCCGCTGCTGGATGAGTAGCGCGGCCACAATTGGTTCTGTTCTCGGGCGCGAAGACCGAAGAGTTACGACTGTACGAGGCTTCATGAGATGGAAGGGATTGCCAACTGGTAGCCTATACCAAAATAATATACATGAACATCCATCCCACTGCTTGCACTTGTTCTAGAATGTCTATGATTACGTAGGAGGCGAAGGATGTGCCTGAGTGAAACCACGCCACGTGCGGCCCCGCTCGCCATTCTCTCCGAAGCGTCACCGGCAAATGAGCCAAGCCTTCAACGGTTTTGGAATGACTCTTTTTGTGTCAAAATTTGTAAACTTTCTTTTTTCGCAGCCCTTTAACTATCGCTTCTTCGCAGAGAACTAGAATTGCTAGAGTAGACACTCCAGATCGACCTTTCAGAAGCTGTTCGAACATACCCCGCAATGGCAGAATCACCCCGCTATTTGACCGGAGACGGTGAAGGAATCCGCGAGTTCATAGACAAGTTCGACGTAAGTATTGGCTCTATAGTTTTTTTTTTTTTTTTTTTTTTTTTTTTTTTTTTTTTTTTTTTTTGATCAATTGCAACCAGAAAAGTAACTAATAATCTCCCTCAGGTCTTTCTCTTTGACTGCGATGGTTGGTATCCCGAACCTTCAGTTTCGCATTCTTCCGGACCCTCGATATCTAGCCCAATGTGATAGCAATACTGAAAGTGACCATTGATACAGGCGTCCTCTGGTCTGGTGACCATACTTTCCCCGGAACAAACGAGACACTGGAGCTGTTGAGAAGCAGAGGTATGCAACCGACGGCCGAAACATTGAGAGACATATTCAAGCGCAAAGGCTGAACTGCATTGTCGCAACCAGGAAAGCAAGTCGTGTTCGTCACGAACAACAGCACCAAATCGCGGGCCGATTACCAGAAGAAACTCGACTCCCTCGGGATCCCAAGCACGACGGTAAACATCAGCCACACCCAGGAGCCCACCCACAAAGCAGACGATGGCTGACAACAAGAACAGGAAGAGATCTTCTCCTCCTCATACAGCGCCTCGATCTACATCTCCCGCATCCTCCAGCTCCCAGAGAACAAGCGTAAAGTGTTTGTGTTGGGTGAAACCGGTATCGAGCAGGAGCTGCGCTCAGAGAATGTCCCCTTCATCGGCGGTACTGATCCCGCGTATCGTCGGGACATAACGCCTGAGGACTATAAGCGCATTGCTGCGGGAGATCCGGAGTTGCTGGATCCTGAAGTCGGGGTGGTCTTGGTGGGACTGGACTTCCATATCAATTACCTCAAGCTGTCGTTGGCGTTTCACTATGTTCGTCGGGGTGCTGTCTTCCTTGCGACGAATATCGATTCTACTCTCCCCAATTCGGGGACCTTTTTCCCTGGCGCTGGCTCTGTGAGCGCGCCTTTGATTATGGCCTTGGGCAAGGAGCCGGTCTCGTTGGGTAAGCCCAATCAGGCGATGATGGATGCCATCGAGGGGAAATTCAAGTTTGATCGGAGCCGTGCGTGCATGGTCGGTGACCGTGCGAACACTGATATTCGGTTCGGTCTGGAAGGGAAGCTTGGAGGTACATTGGGAGTCCTTACTGGTGTCAGCAGTAAGGAGGACTTCGAGACGGGGCCTACTAGGCCTCTGGCATATCTTGATAAGCTTTCAGATCTTTTGGGATCGAACTGATGATAGATTAAAGTTAGAGTGCTAGACAAGAGAGAGAGGGATATACATTGTCGATAGATATAGTTAGGGAAACCACATAGATACATAGAAGTTTGTTCGCCGTACAGGCAAAGATTTAGAGCTTAACCAGAACCTTGTGCTCAGTTATCAGAGCAGTTATCTTCAGATAATCATGACTGCGGCTCATCGCTGGGATCTGGAGTCTCGCAAGTCGACTCATGCCTCAGAAACCCCTTCAGCTTCCACAGCGCCAACATCGCATTAACCGTGATCGGGTCATTCGGTCTAAAATACAAAGCTGGACTCTGGAAACGCGGATCATAACCCCAGATCTCCTCTAGCTCCTTCTCAGAGAAGAGCTGCGCAAGTTCAAACACAGGTACCTTAGATGGGAGATGCGGTAACATAAGATATTCAGGGAGTGTTCCCACAGTATTGGATGTTGCTTTATCTTGTGAGACTGATTCAATCACCCCCGTCTGGCTGTTGATCAGAGTGCCCATGACCAACACCGCACCGCATTCCATGCGCGGGAAGGGTTTCACACCCCTCAACTCTTTCAGAATAGCTGCCTCGGAGTACTCATTAAGGTCGATAGCCGTCCAGACGCGGTTGGTAGCATCCAATCTTTTATACTTAATACAGGCGTGTTTAAGCTGCTTGACCACATCCGCCCTCATTCTTGATAGCACAAAGTTAGGCATATCTTCGCGCCAAATGATCTGTTTCTCTTCCCTAACAGTAAAAGGCCCGTGTGGATGTTTCCACCGATAGGGGAATAGGCGCGCAACAGGCGATCTCGTCCCGTACACGTGCGACGCCAAAACTGAGTTCAATTTTTTCAACAGCGGGAGACGGTCCACGAGTCGTAGCGTAAGGTGTCGAATACTATTGTCCATATAAGGTATCGGCAGAGATGTACCACCGGCAGCTCGCCGCGCTCTATGGTCCGCAGCAGCTGCGGCCACTTCATCTTTGAGTAGTCCCAGGGGCATGAACCATAGGCCGTCGGATTTCGGCCGTTTAAGCATCCCCCAGTCGCTCAGAAGGGCCCGAGGAATGCGTGTCCCTGTTGCGGAGCACATTCGAGGAGGTGAGGCGAGGGCCATTGCCCAGGGGTTCCGGCGGAGGTCCTCCAGGTCTTCAGGTTTTGCGGCCCGTTTCTTGTGTTTCTTCTCGAGGTTGGGGTGCACGGTCTTCATGAGGGGTGATTGAGGGAGAGTTTGCGAGAGTCGAGGCTCCTCTGTTTCACTAGCCGTGAACTCCGCGTCATCATGTTGACCCGGTTCCTTTGGATATTCGGGGTGTTGGAATTGTGATCCGTCCAGAGTGTTTGGGTCGTCGATCGCCCGTCTCGAGATGGTTCTTCGGCCATTGAGTTCCGAAGAGGACAAGAAAAGCCGTTGAAAGACCCTCAGGCGCCATGAGGCGTACGAAATCCGGCCGTGAAGGCACTCCATGGTGTGCTTCGCGAAAAAGGGCAGATCAGATAAGTGAGAGCGAGAGTTGGCTACCCTTCCAAACCCAACGAAACTAAACTCCACAATCCGCGGCGCTAAACCGTATCCATGCTGTTCGAGCTCCGAAGCTTGGCGGCGGCCCTTCTGCTCTGATGCGATCGGAGTCCGGTCGTCTTCACTTCCATTCTTTCCTTGATTGTGACAAAGCTCTGTCTGTCAGCAGGCACTTTTCTCACAATGAACCCTGCACGTTCGTTACAGCGACTCAGTCGCTTCTTTCCGCGTTCCTCTATCCTCCCGGTGTTATCGCGGAGTTTCACCAGCTCTGTTCCGTCACTATCAAAGGGCACTCCGCCGCGGGGCTGGACTCCCACGCCATTTGTAACAGAGACAGTAGTGAGTTCCTTTGACCTCACCTGCTCATACCGCAGTAAAGTCTGACTAACTATATCTCAGGGAGGAGGCTGGCACACATGTACGTCAACGTCAAAGCAGAAAACCAGCAGTATTAACCACATCACATAGATGATATCTTCTCCCGACTTCTGAAGGTACCAATGCGAGAGTTCACACGCCACGCCACCCCAGAAACGACCACACACTGATCAGTCTCCCTAGGAACGCATAATATGTCTCAACGGCGAAGTAGACGAAACCATGTCGGCGTCTATCGTCGCCCAACTCCTCTTCCTGGAAGCCGATAACCCCCAGAAGCCGATTCACTTGTATATCAACTCCCCTGGAGGCTCGGTCACAGCGGGTCCGTGTTTCCCATTCCCGAGCAGCCTCTACATTATGGATTTCCTATAGTGCTGGATGATATAGCATTGGTCTAACGGTTGGACAGGTCTCGCCATCTACGATACAATGACCTATATTGCCTCCCCCGTGAGCACCATCTGCGTTGGCCAGGCCGCGTCGATGGGCTCCCTTCTTCTTTGCGGCGGTCACCCCGGCAAACGTTACTGTCTGCCCCATTCGTCGATCATGATACACCAGCCGTCGGGCGGGTACTTTGGACAGGCGACGGACATTGCGATTCATGCAAAGGAGATCCTGCGGGTTCGGGAGCAGCTGAATAAGATCTATAAGCGTCACTTGACGGGGAAGAAGGAGTTGTCGCTGGAGGAGATTGAGAAACTTATGGAGAGAGATTATTTCATGGGGGCTGGGGAGGCGTTGGAGATGGGTATTGTCGATGAGATTCTGGACCGCAGGGTTAGGTCGACAGAGGAAGGGGGTGAAGGGGATGGGAAGCCACCGACTCCTTAGAGGTTTTCTTTCTTCGTTTTCTTGTTTGGTGAATGGCATACATACCCTTGTTGCTATGTAATATTATCATGACTTGTTATGGATTTCGTTGTCTTCGATACTATGTTCAAGTGTGGATCTGATTGTGTCTGATGCCTTCCGATTCGTTATAATCGTATAGCGCTTTTGACAGACACTCTAACCTAGATGCTACTAGGTGTATACATTGCAAGAGAATTGGAACGTCAGGTTCAGAACTGGTTATATATCGATATAATATTTACACATGTTACAGCCAGTATGGACCCAAGGTCAATACGTACAAGATAAAAGGAGTAACCCGGATCATGTCGCTACTCTCTCAAGGCGTCCCTCGGAGTTGACCTGCAATCCAAAGCGTTCTCGAAGAAAAGTAGCTGTCTGGTCGGAGGGCATATAAGCAGAAGTTCGCCTTGCCACAGCCGGACTATAACGCCATTGATCCCGGATGATATTAAAGATACCGAGGTCCATGATCACTGCCTCCCCTGACGCAAAAGCATCCATGGCGTGGCTATTCCTGGCACCAGATATACGTCCGCCTTCTGAAGGATCTGCCAGCAGCTCCGTTCGCTCCAGTTGCTCGTCCGTACTAAGATCCATATGTTCATCGCGTGGACGTATCTCACTAAGCTCTATGCCATCGCCAGAGGGTTGAGCCGAGCTGCTCCGGAGAACGCCGCGCTCCTCGGAATCATGATCCTGATCGCTGGGTGTCTCTATTACACCTGGTATCGTGGATACGGGCGCAGTCGCTTCAGTCGTCTTCACCCGTTCCACAATCAGACCTAGCATCACCAGGTCGAGGAACAGCACAAGCAAGTCCGACAGTAGAAGCCGGGCTACCGAGACGGGAGCTTTTTGTCCAATAAAGTCTATCAACAATCCCCCATGTAGATAGCCTCTCGTTGCTTCTCCAGCCTCCGGCTGACCGAAAAACTTGTGGTGAATCATACAGAATACATTACTGGCGAAGATGGCCCCGATGAAAGGTTGATTCCGCGTGGGGTCAAATGGAGGTGCCTTGGGAGTGAAGAATATCAGCTGCACAATAGCCCGGAGTGCGAAAAGTATGATTGAGCAACTACGGAGGCAGAACCCAGTCAGCATCTGCTTCACTTGGCGGGCTTGCCCGAAGGGACGTCTGCAGTCCAACAGCTTGGCGGGACTCACTCCATGTAATACAGTGCGGATAGCTGGCAGTAAATCAAGATATCGAGATCGCGGAGTAAGCGATCGATGAACGCGACTTTCGCTGCTGACTGCAGTTTCTTGAAGCGGCCATCATCACCAGATTGCGGCCCCGTGAGGTCCGCGACGCTTCCATGCGGGATGCCGGATACGTCAGCGATGTATTCCGCATCTCGATAGACATCCGGAGTTGTCATAGGGGGTCATGAGGGCATGAATGGCATCTACATGAACTGATGGTTTGAACGAACAGGTAGAGGCCGCCACTGCAGACCTGAAGAGGGTGAGGTGCTACTATCCTCGAGGTGGACTGTGATGGTCGGGGAGAGGATAATGGGGAGTCATGTGCGCGGGCCTTTCTCGGTCCGAAGGCCCCAGCTCCCCCAAATTCCAGATGGAGCTCCAGTCACTTAACGCTCCACATAGCGACTCCGCTCAGTAGCTTTGGTGATGATCGCATAGCCCTTTGTCATGGTTGCCTATGTCAAAGCCTCTGACACCTCCATGATTTTATTTTTGCGGGACCTCTCACCATATAATAATGTTCTTACTTTTGATGAATGTTTGATTGACTTTATCGATGGTCTGACATCAACGGAATTTCTGAGCACTATAGATAGTGAATACTCTATAGATACCTATCTACATAAGTAACCAACGCTTCAATCAACAAAGATCGTCTTTGACGTGTTCGCGTAGTGCTTGAAGAAGCTAGTGAACAACCGAATAGAATGTCCAACATCATATGTACCACCAGTTTCCCGGATACTGTGCATGCTCAGCTGTGGGTTACCCAAGTCCAGCGTGCGAGCACCGAGTGCAGCGGACAACATTGGGCCAATTGTGCTTCCACAGCTGGAGTCGTTGCGAACGACGAAAAGCTGGAGAGGGACGCCTTCCCCACCGTCTTCTGCTGCCTTGCGTGCAATCTCCTGAAGTAGGACAATGCCAGGGGAGTTCGTCGCGTAGCGAGCATTGGCGTTAATCTTGATCACAGGACCCTTGTTGATCTCCGGTCGGTGATCATTCTCGTACTTGGCAGCGTAGTTAGGATGAATAGCATGAGCCATGTCCGCAGAAAGGAGGAACGAAGTCGACAGAGTCTCTTCATAGGCGGTAGCCAAGTCATCATTGCCAGACGTGGAAGAAGGCAGAACAGACAGGCGACGGATAATTGCCGGAAGCACATTAGAGTCAGCTCCCTGCGCGGTACGGCTGCCGATCTCTTCGTGATCGAATAGCGCAATGAGACGAATGGATGGTTCATCGTCCAGCGCCGACGCATCGGCAACGGAGTCGATCAGTCCAACAGTGGCACAGAACGAGCTGTTCAGGTTATCCAGGCGGGGCGAGAAGACGAATTCTTCCAGCAAGCCACCAAGGCAAGACTTCTGAGTGTCGAACAAGATCATCTCAAAGTCCAAGATGTCGGCTGGCTCAACTTCTGCTTCAGCAGCAATAAGCTCCACCAAGTAGGGGTGATGACGCTCGGTCACTGATTTTAGTGGAGAGAAGTCTCCTTTCTCTGTTTCGCCATTTTCCGCGGCCTTTTCACCGGTGGCAGTGGAATTGGCAGTGCGGTTGAGCTCAGCAGCGACAAGGCCTGCGATAGGGAACAATTGGGTCTCCTTATTGAAAGCAAAAGTCTCCTGGCGATCAAGGTGGATAGCCAAGGTTGGGATCCGGAGAACTACGAAATATGTCAGTCACATATCTTCCAAGTCAATGTTACGTAGAGCCCATACTCGGCCGGTCGATTTTGACCAACTTCTGCACAATGGAGCCGTCACCAGTCCGTACCATAGCACGACCTGCGACACCCAAGTCACGGTCAAACCCTAGATCTCATTAGTATGCAACGCACGGAAAGAGGGTAGACAACTTCGTTACATGTGTGCCAAATGCCACCTCCGTATGTCTCTACGCCAACTTGGACGAACCCTTCGCCGCGCTTGTTGCTGACAGGCTTAATTCTCAACACAGGAGAGTCCGTGTGGGCACCGATCATAGAAATCGGGTTTCCAGGCTAGTTATCATGAGTAAATATTGTCTTTTCAGTCTTGAAGAAGGGAAGCTGGATATGTGCGGGGGGTTCTGTGTATGTACCTTCCATTTCTTACCGATGGCGAAAGCCACAATGGTTGAGCTGTTACGGGTCAAGTAATACTTTCCACCGGGACGGCAAGTGGAAGACCAAGAATCTTTCTCCTGGAGGCACAGTTAGTATTTTCGGCAACACTGGGATGGAATCACATACCTTGATCTCCTGGAAGCCAGCCTTCGACAGAAGTTCCTTTGCTGATTGGACAGCGTGGAAGGCTGAATTTGACCCGAGTTAGACCAGTCACTGGACCAAGAATGCGAATCACAAGGGGGCTAGTTACGGGTGGGGGAGGCATTGACAAAGGACAAGAAGTCCAGAGCCGGCTGCTTCAGATTTTGGGCGAGTTTCGAAGTCATTTTTGGGTACCCCGCGAGCTAGATCCAGGTCCGTCGTAGTTGTTTTGGTTGGAGACGAAATTGCGGAGACAGCGAGAGTTTCTCATGGCATGAGATCATGGCTGGTCTTGGCGGTAAGGCACTAAGCTTCGGTTTATGGGGCCCGATCCATCCTCAACCCTAATTTGGATTCAGACTGATCCTGTTACTCTCTCTATTTCTTATAACTACACAGTATACTCTGTTTTTCATCTTGTACCCAAAAACTGGACTCGTCAGATTGACTTTGGATTTGACAGGTCGGTTCCTAATCATCGTGCGCAGGACCAGTATGTAGAACGGGATATGGATCATCTCAAGACCCTCTCTTGCACAGGCAGCCATATACCATTCACATGAGACATGAACAATGCATGGTGTCTCCCCGAGTCATGTCTGCAACATGACAGGTCAAACTTATCCTCTTCTCTATAACAGTCCACCGCAGCGCCTGTCATGATTGAATTTGTAGAAAATCGATATGTATTCGATACTCTACGTGTCTCTTCATAGCTTCTATAGTAGCAACCCTGAATCGGTTCGATAGGCGATTAGACAACGAATAGTATGACATAGAGGGGTTCTTGAAATAAAAAAAAGGGCAGCAAGTTTGGGGCACATCGGCGACTAGTTGGGGCTAAAGTATCGATAAGATTAACAATAACAAGTGAACGGACGATTTGATGAGCTTGGGGAGGCTCAGCAATCCCTTGGTGTGTGGAGTAGATTAAGGGAGGCCAGGATTTTGTCTGAGAACACGAAACCAGAGGGAAAAGCATGGGAGACAATGGAAAGCCGTTATGCTCAGAGGTGTCCACTGAGATCGACGCGGAAAGGGAGAAGCGATAGTTTCTTTGGCTGGAAACTCTCCTTCATGCTGTGGTCCAAGCTTTTCCCTCGCGCGTTCAGGGCGCGTGTCATGGAGGCGGTCGCGAGGAAAGCCCGAAAAAGTGGCACCTGGATTAGCTATCGATGGACGCTGATCCAATCATTCATGACATCGGTCGCGTCGGTCAAGTCGCGTGTTTTTTTGAGCCATCAAGAGTTTGTCGCTCGATCAGAAAGAAGGAATTATAAGAATTAAAGAAAGAAAGACAAAGCGGCCGTTCATTAGACGTACGAATCGTGCTGAGTGGCTTTGCAAACAGTGTAGTTGTCGTGGGGTAAACAAGAGCATGTTCTCCGTAGTACAGGTAACAGTGCACTATGTTGCGCGGGATGATCTATCTAATCAGTCCCAGGGTTACATGAGGGCGACTACATACAACACCACAGCGGATCAAATTGAACAGACTACCGACCAACGACATAAGTGAAAGCTCGGTCTCTTCTCGATTTGAGCCAAGAACAATAATATGAGACAAACTGAAAGCGAAAGAAAGTCGAGCCCAAGAGGGTAAAAAATACGTGACGGCCACCTACGACCCAGATAGGCTTAGCGCAGCCGACGCGTGACTGGGAGGGATTCCCCTTCGAAACTCCGTCACCCCAAGAGGGCCCCATCACCAGCCCTTGGATCCAACCCTCAGCGCTGTTTCAACATCCCATTCCTCACCAGACGGTGGTCGGGTCCGTCTCAAATGACCTCCACAAGTTGCTTGAATATCTTCAATCAGCACCAAGTCTGGTGAGAGATACTATTTATTTACCTATCGTCGCTCTCTCAAGCCGCCTGACTTCTAGTTGGTCTGGATTATTGCTCGGAGCGGAGAAGGGTTTGGCTATCGTCAACAGATTCATTCACCAGACAAGCGCCTTGAAGCGATCCGACTGACAAGAAACACAAAGCATCTTCCTAATCTACCATCTCACGAGCGCTTTCACAATTGACCTTCTATATACCACCATACAATTTGCGATCCGACATTGGCGATTGTCGCATTACCCCGGCTGGCCAAAGTCCATCCCTCCTTCGACCGCCATTTGAACCAGGCGAGATCAACCACCCCGCCAGAAGGATGGGCGACCACATCCACGACACAAATACGGTTGCCACCCGCAGCGCAACAAGAAATGCTTCACGTGCGAAACCATCCGGAAGTGCCGCCAATGCATTGAACCTCGCATCCCCGCCTGGGTCAAGGACGCCGCCCAGCATGCCATCGAAAAAGACCATTTTCTATCCTGATACGCTAGGCAGGCAACAGAAAAGTCGAAGTGGATCGGAGGCTATCGACCCGGATGCGCTTGCGAAAGCTTTGAAGGACTTCGAGGACGCTGGGCGCCCCCGCGAGAGAACACCCGGGACCAGTCCCAGTCGAAAGAGGCAGCGGGTATATGGCGACAGGTCAGTAACGAAAATTCCCCCATAATAGCCCACCGTCGTCCTACGGTTCTTCTGCGCCTAGCCTAGGGTGTCCGATCGACTTATTACTAAACTTCTGTATAGATTCATCCCGAATCGGGAGGGGCAAGATCTCCAAGCAACCTACAGTTTGCTCCACGAGGACGGGTGTCCCTCTACTCCTTCGAAATCGAAAAAGCGTGCGCCGCATTCAGAGCTTCATTTTCAAAAAAGTCAGTCCGTACCTTCTCCACGCTTATACAATGAAACTTCGGCTAACATCATTTCCAGCGGAGGAAGCAAACAGGATGTACTCGCGAGTACTGCGGAGCGAGCTGTTTGGTAATACTGTCCCACAAGCTGACCTGGACTCATTATCCCCGGATCCTTTGCTGGGCCTCGGTAATGGTATCAATGAAAAAACTCGCTCCCATACCCCTCCGTCGCATGTGTCAAATCTTCCTCCAGCAAGCATAACACCGTCGACACCCCACAAGAACCTTTTCAACTACGCCTCTCCACGTGGATCTGGACATCCCACCCCTTCTAAAACCCCCCGGAGTCAACATGGCCCCAACCTCAACGTTCGATCAGAGCTCTACAGTTTGTCACCGATCCGCTATGACAGTCAGCGCATCCTTGAGACCCCTCGCAAACAACCACGTTATGTCAATAAAGTCCCATACAAAGTACTGGACGCACCTGACTTGCAAGATGATTTCTATCTAAATCTGGTGGACTGGGGGAGTAGTAACGTTTTAGGTGTTGGCCTTGGAAACTCCGTCTATATGTGGAATTCGCAAAGCGGATCAGTGACGAAGTTATGTGAACTAAGAGACGACACCGTCACAAGTGTGAACTGGATTCAAAGGGTGAGTCATTAAAGTATATCTCTGCATTGGCGCGGGGACTAACGGAGACACAGGGTACACACCTCGCTATAGGGACTGGGAAGGGACTTGTACAGATCTGGGATGCGGAGCGCTGTCGCCGTCTTCGAACGATGATTGGCCATACCAATCGTGTAGGTGCCCTGGCTTGGAATGATCATATCCTTACATCCGGCTCGCGAGATCGCCTCATCTATCACCGAGATGTCCGTTCTCCAGATCAGTATCTCCGGCGACTTTCTGGCCATAAGCAAGAAGTCTGTGGTCTCCGATGGAATACAGAAGACGGTCAGTTGGCCTCAGGTGGTAACGACAACAAACTCTTGGTGTGGGATAAATTAAACGAAACACCCCTCTATCGATTTTCTGACCACACTGCGGCGGTCAAAGCGATTACTTGGTCACCTCATCAGCATCATTTACTTGCTTCGGGCGGTGGAACGGCCGATCGGACTATCAAGTTCTGGAATACCTCAACTGGATCTTTGATCAAGGAAGTTGACACGGGGAGTCAAGTCTGCAACCTAGCCTGGTCGAAAAATTCCGACGAAATCATCAGCACACACGGTTACAGTCAGAATCAGATTGTGATCTGGAAGTATCCACGTATGGAACAGATCGTATCATTGACGGGACATACGTTTCGTGTCCTGTATCTGGCAATGAGCCCCGATGGCCAAACGGTAGTTACGGGCGCCGGTGATGAAACTCTGAGGTTTTGGAAGATCTTTAACAAGAGGTCCGGGAGAGACCAGGGGCGTGAAGGCAGCAAGTTGGCGGAATGGGGCACTATTCGATGATATTACGATCGATATATTTGATGACCTTAGTGCTACGGCATCTTTAACATACCCTGCAAAGGGCTTTCGATATGCATTAGACACGGCGTTCACGGAATCTGGCGTTGTTTCAATCCTGGGTATATCCTTGGTCGGTCCGGGGCAGGGTTATCAGGGTTTAATTGGCATCTCTCGCATTTTGTGGGTTTACGGCATTTGACAGGCGCTTATTTGCGAGGCGCTGGTGTCCCAGCATTTGATCACATATTTTGTCATGTACCGTTGGCCTTATTCGTGTTGTTCGCGCCTTCGCCACTATGCCTGCGTTTCTGCGCCACTTCTTTTGATTTACATTAACCGATCTTATTTTACCCGTCCCTTCATCTCTCCTTGCACTCAATGTAAGCGGCGGCGCTCATGGTGTTTCGAATGGTGGCTGGTTGTGGCGTTTGCTCATTGGGACATATGGCGGGGAAGTCTCGAGTACTCTCATCTTGCCATGATCGCATTATATGTACCTTATTCTCTCCTTCTTTTTCTTTTCTGGCAGGATTGATGATGAGATGACTTGTGAAATCAGGGCGTTGTTTAGCTCGCTATATTCCAGGGTCTCATCCACTCCGGAGACACTTGCCATGTGAAGAAGCAGTGTTGACCATTGTTCGAAGAATAACAAGAATGAAACCTGTCAATGTGGACATGAAGTAGACGCGCGCGCGTATATATGTCGTAGTACAGTAGCCTGAGTCAAGTAGCATCTTCTTTCTCATTCCACACAACACCATTCCGATCATGTTCTTGTGCCAATGACTCGATAAGCTTCCAATCGAACTTAACCAGAACAACCTTATCTAAGTATCATACCAAGGTTTCTGCAACCAAAACTTAATTGAATTGGGTTCTAGTCAAATCCTAATATACTTCAGACACGACAGAAGTTCCCAGTATGATATAGCTCACAGAACCGACTTCTTCTTGGTATACCCGGCGGTCCAGAATCCAGGCCACTCACTCGGCAGCTCTTCCACAATGAACCTGAATATGGCAGCCTGTACCTCCTCTGGCTTTTCATATTGCGCAAAGTGTCCTGCGTCGATCGTAACCTCCGTCAAATTGCTACATGCCTCTCTCATTGGATCAGCCAGACGAGACGTTATGGTATCACACACCACATCTCTGGCATCATGGATAAACAGAACTGGTTGGTCCAGCTTCCCATCACGCTTCCCGTTGTATTCCGCGTTCCGCGCATGGTGCAGGTAGTACGCAGATCCGGGCCAGAAGCCAGTCCTCTGCATATCCTGCACAAACGAATCGAAGACCTCCGCAGGGAGCACTGGAGGTCCTGTCATGTCTACGCTTGGGGGCTTTGGCATTCCGCCCAGCCATCCGCCGTCCTTGCGCACGCTGGCAGTCACCTGGGCAAAACGGCTAGCCGGGGCCTTGGCCGGCTGCAACGAAGCCTTGCAATATCCTGCAATGTCACTGTCGAACCATTCAACGGTCTTTTCGAAGTTCTCCTCCCAGTTCTTCATATAGTCCCACTGTCCGAACTCGTATTCGTCCGCTGGGTAGAGATCGCGGTTCACAAAGGGAAGGAAACCCTGCCAGCCGCGCTCGATAGTATGGAATGGCACAGACAGGTTCACCAGCGCTTTAACCACCTCCGGGTGTTGCGTCGCGACGGAAGACGTCACGCCCGCACCCCAGTCGTGGCCAACCCAGATCGCTGCATCGCGGCCGGTGTCGGCTAGCAAAGCCATCATGCCCTCCACGATGGCCTCTTGACAGTAGTCGTCGGCCACGCGGCGGGCAGTCGACTGCCCGTATCCTGGCATATCAGGAGCAATGGCGCGGAATCCCACGGATGCGAAGGATTCAATTTGTGCCTTCCAGGTGATCGCGGTGCCTGGCCAGCCATGGATGAAGAGAACCAGAGGGCCATTTACAGGGCCTGCCGCAAGGTAGTGGATCTTTTTGTCGTCTGCGTAGACGACATTGTGGTCTGTGATGGCTACCATGGTGATAGGTGGCCGTATTTTCAATCGGGAGTCCAGATTCCCGTGGATCTGTGGAAACGTCGGTCGTTCTGCGTTGCTTGTTTGATGGCCGTAAACACAGGAGGCTATTTAGGTGTTGTCTCCTCAACGGTCAGGAGTCTTGGGGATGGTTAAAATGGGGGCGATCAGGTGGGGTGAGATATTTAAAGCTATAGTAGTACTAATTACTAGGTAAGCACTTCCCCCGCTGAATCGTGAAACATGACCCAATACACCTTCTTATTAAGTGCACACCACCGATTAGATTACTATGGCAATTATTGTTACGAGTCACTCTCCATAAATCAGTCTTGTCATGTCCTGCCCCCCTGCTGACGCCAATACTTCGTTGGCCTTGCTGACCGGGAATGGATGTCAATCTCTCGCGATTAAACATCGCGGTTACGCAGCTCCTACTCAACGCCGGTAACTCCTCGCTCTGGTGCTGAATTGGGGGTCTCTCTGAGATTCAAAAACGAGGACATGGCCGTCAATGTGGTATTGAAACCCACCATCACAAATTGCAGCGACTTCAACGTTTCGTCAGCGTGCACCTCACTGGACACAGATGCCCGAGATTGTTGGCAAGTAGACCCCATTGGCTTGGGAATAATGGGATTGACTTGGCGAGCGACGCCACCGTCTCACCAGAAATCCTTGTGACTCCAGATGACTGTTGGAATGGCGCCGAGTTCATGGATCCCCTGATTACAATACTCTTGTACTCCTGAAACGGCACCTGGAGATGCATCCGGAAGATGCTGGTAAAAATCGTTCTGAACTTCCAAATCAACTGGACGAGAATGCTATCAAGGCGTCCGAGGATGCCAGCTATTATTCTAATTTCCGGTGCGACAACAGCGGAGCGAGTGAAGGAGAACAGCAAGCTTATCGGTACCCCGGATGAAGAGGTGGCAGAGATTGAGGCGATTCTGGCGAAAGTTCACTCCGACTGGTGGACGATCCCCCAAGATCATTCCGATCAATACTACATAGGTTATGAAGGTTGTCTCTCAGCTGGTTAACGTACCGTAATTAGGACTGTATGTGTTTATGTAAACTTTTGCGTTTTAGAGCTCATATTGTAACACTCTGGCTTCGCTACAGGCGGGCGGGTTGTATGAAATGTAGATACCATATGAAGTGGGGCTTGTATACCATGAGCATAGCGAATTATCCAGTTTTACCCTGCCGAGAACCCCTAAGAAACTACATTGGATATAACAATGCAATTATTACATCTTTACCACAAGAAAAACAACTGAAGGTTCGAAAAAGGACCAGCCCTAACTATGCAGCGGCAAAGCCGAGTTCCCGCTTTCAAGAAGTTCATGGCACGCTTAGAAGAAAGAATAACAGATAAACTACATTTATTCGAAACATATGTCTTTTGGGAAAAAAGACGTCTCCGCATAGAAGACGACTGGTCCTCCACCAGCTCCTTTCCTGCTTCGCATTATTGGGGTGTGGGCAGATTTTCATGGCCATGGAATACTAGGGTAGCCACTGAATACCCACCGAGCTACAGTCTATGATGCACTATGCTCACACTGCGCTATGTACCCATACTAAAGCAGTGGCATCCAGACAGAGGAAATTTAGTTCAGTTCAGTAGAAAAATTCCGGTTCGTATAGGTGTATATATGATATAAAAACACAGCCTCCGATGATCTCTAGATTGGAGATACGTCCCAAACCCTATTGAGACCGATTCATTACTTATGCTACACTGGTTATGGAAGATTAGCCCACATGATCCGATGACATAGTCCTACACATTCTCTTAGAACTCACAAGATGGATTGGAGATTTATAGAACTAGCCTTCCAGGCTCAACCGTCAAAAGAGCCTTGACACGGTCCAAGAAAACCCTAGCCCTCTTTTCTTCTTCAACAGGAACAGTCAGACTGAAGACATTGGCGGCGCTACCAGCCGGAGGCTCCACCACTGAGGGCCGGGAAGCAGCCTTGGAGGCCTTGCCGCTGAGAATATCGATGATGTCTTCCTTAACGGGTTTGGCCGGCTGAACGACGGAGGGCGCCTCCACTGCGTTCAACTCAGGAACATAATCGCCCCGGGATGTTTGAATGGGCTTTGCGCCGAGAACCTCATCGAATAGCTCGTCGGCGGACTGCTTCTCGCGAGACGAACGGGGAAGGTCGTCGTTGGCTAGGTCGGTAGCACGGGCGAGGAATGTCGCAAGAGGCACGTTAACCCCCAAAGTCTCTTGGATCTTCTTCTGGACGGACAGAACAGTAGCCAGGGAAATCGAGACGGCTACGGAGGTAGTTGGTGGAGGTCTAGCAACTGGCTCGGCCACTGGCTGTGGCTCAGCGGGCCTGGGCGGCGCGGCGATCTTGATGTTGCTCAGATCGAGGTGGGCAAGCTTATCAAACCGGACTTGCTGGGTAGCGGGATAATCAGCTGGGATAGAGCCGAGGTAGGCGAGCACATCGCCCTTGAGAAGACGGCCCTTGGGACCAGACGCCGGGATCTTCGAAACTTCCGATTCGGGAATACCTTTCTCGTGAAGGAGCTGGATAACGGATGGGTACAGCGGGTAGGCGGGGTTCTGGGTCTGAACGGCAGAAGAAGATGCTAGGCCTAGATAATGCGGTCAAATGCGATGTCAGCGTACATGTCCCAGAAGGTGTATATACTCCAAGCACCTTTGCGAAAGCATCTCCCTCATTTGGATATCCCGCGGGCAACTTACGTCTTGTGGTACCGAGTACGCGTGGTTGCCGTCTGGCGACCACGGCCGGAATCTGACGCAAAGTGAAGCTGGAGGCCATTTCTGGATATACAAGATCACCCTTTATGAAATCTGGGTCGTGTGCTTTCTCCGGTCGTATGATACTCCCGTGGCGCTGTAATTGGATTCGGCGGACTAGGGACAGGAACGATCAAGAACCCACTACCACGTCAACGGGGCCGCACGGAATCCCAAGTGGATCGTGTGACTCGAGGCGATATCGCGATCTAAAGCTAATTGTAAGAAGACATAAACGCTGGATTTTACTGCAAAAGCTGAGACCGACCTTGTAAAGACGTTGAGGTTGTTGGGAGCTTCACCGGCCGCCCGGACGGGAACATTTTTCTGCCGCGGAGAGCACCGGATTCTAGTCCGTCACTGTTGCTGAGAGCTATCGGAGTTCTCCATTGAACTATCGGTAAGTTCATTTTTCCTATGCGTGCCTTGCAATTGCCTTGCTCTAGATTGTATGGATTGTCGGAGCCCAATGCCCACCCGGCATTCAGCGATTTCCACCTCGTATTTGATCCTTCTACGTATTCTAATGCTAATTAACCGGGTGCCTTGAACTAGGCACCATAATGTTTGCAAGATCTTTTGCTTTCAGGGCATTCTCGCCGCAATGTCCCAGGACCTTTATGACCCCCGGATCGTCGGTATCAAGCCCAACATGGAGATACTTCACTTCAAGCGCTGCTCGAACAAAGGCCGCAGTTAAAACCAAGCCCCAATATAACCCTCCCCAATTCAAAGCGTCTCCACAAACCGAGCAAAGTCTGAAATTTGCTGGACGACGAGCAGAGGGTTTCGGAAAATTAGAACGAAAGGTCGCCAAAGAAGGGCAGGTGTTACTTTTCCAAGCGCCATCGCATCGCAGCTATGTTCTAGGCGCCTACGGCATTTCAGCATTTTGCTTCGCTTACTCCGTGTACAACTCTAATGTTGTCTTTCGCGATCCGATAATACCTCTCCCAATGTGGCAGCAGGCTCTCTTTGGCGGTATCTGTGTCATGATGAGTGTCATGGGTACCGTGTTCCTTTTCAAAACTGGACGGCTGATCAAAGCAGTCAATGCCGTTCAATCTAACGGACAGACCCATCTCCGCTTTACTGTTCGGAGCTTCATCCCTTTCAGGAAGCCATTTGAGTTCGATGCTTTACCTCATCAAATAGCGTTTTCTCGTCGGCTGGTTGTGACGCACGACTCTGTGGCTCGCATGCAGCATGCAGAGGCCGCTCAAAATGGGAACACAAGCTTCTTCAAGGCGCCTTTGAAGAAGACGAGTATGCTCCTTTGGAAACTATTCCGATCTGTCCGGCAGTTATTCACACAAGAAGACTTCATCCTCTTGGAAGTGGAAGGTCAAAAAGGTGTTATGCGGATGGATTCTGCGGGATTTGTATCGCAGGACTTTCTTGTGATTGGCAACCCGGTCACCTACAGGCGTTAGATGACTGGGTGATCAAGTTGGCCCTCTGTGAGCCAGCCGATTGTGACGTTCATTCTGAAAACGTCTAATACTGTTACTGTTCTTGGTCCCCTTGATTGGGGCCTTTTTGCATCCTGAACTGATGAAGCGTCTCGATCTGTCCTTGTACAACAGATTCCCATGTATAAATAAAACCAATTCTTCTACAAAATGTAGCAGTACCGAGCATAGTCTAAGCGAATGAAAAGAAATAAAGACGATATGGTTGTATTGTTCGTTGCACGTGACCTCCCGGCGCGTCCTCCTAATTGTTCTGTGACGCGACTTCCAGATCACTATCGCGCGGGCCCCTCCAAACACCCGACGGTCAGTTATTATTTACCCCAGTGTCTCTGGGTCGCCTGAGGCAGTTCTCAACGCTTCGCTTTATCTTTCCAGACTTGCAACCGCGGTCGCCGAAAAGCGACTGCCTTGCCGCAAGATGGGGAAGCTCATCAGGCTCGAGCTTTTTAGTATGCAGCGCTTTCAGAAGGCCATGATCCACACTTGATTGCTGACTGGCACACAGACTTCAAATCTTACAAGGGACACCATACCCTTCTTTTCGGCGATGCCTATTTCACATCTATTATCGGCCCTAACGGGTCCGGAAAGTCCAACTCGTGCGCTTCTCCGTATGCCCGACTGGAAACGTACGTGCGCTGACCATATCAGGATGGATGCTATTTCCTTTGTGCTAGGAATCAAGTCTTCCCACTTGCGATCTACGAACCTTCGCGATCTTGTCTACCGCGGCCGTGTCCTGCGCACCTCGAAACTTGATGCCGATGGTAATGTCATCGATGAAGAACCAAACGGACAGGATCACGCAGAAGATGGAGTTGATGGAGAACAATCACAAGACCCCAGCGGATCGAAGGATCCTAAAACGGCTTGGGTTATGGCAGTCTACGAGGACGATGCCGGCGAGGAGCAGCAATGGCGACGATCGATTACGAGCCAGGGAGTCAGTGAATACCGTATCAACAACCGTATCGTGACCGCGCAGCAATATAATGAGGCGCTTGAGGCGGAGAATATCTTGATTAGGGCGCGCAACTTCTTGGTCTTCCAGGGTGATGTGGAGGCGATTGCGTCGCAGTCACCGAAGGATCTTACCCGGTTGATTGAGCAGATTTCTGGAAGTCTGGAATACAAGGCCGAGTACGAACGTCTCAAAGCAGAAGCAGAGGAGGCTGCGGAGCAACAGACAGTCCAACTCAACCGTCGGCGAGCCATCAATTCCGAGATCAAGCAATACCAAGAACAGAAGCGGGAAGCCGAGAATTATGCCCGTAAAGCGGAGGAGCGCGACCAAGCTATCATCACTCACATCCTCTGGAAGCTCTTCCATTTCCAGCGCATGATCGACGATTCCAGTGCAGAGATTTTGAAGTACCAAGATGAATTGAAGGAATACCGCCGTGGTGTTGAGAAATACGAAAAGAATGTCGAGGATGCTAAGAAGGAGCACGCGGGTGTTGGTCGAGAGGTAGCAAAGGCTGAGAAGAATATCACGAAGAAAGAGAAGGATATCGAGGAAGCCGCTAATGAATTGGTTCCGATTGACGAGAAAGTCGACATTACTATGAAAAAGGTAGAGCGGTTTGCCTCTCGCATCGCGGAGATTGGCAAGGAGCGAGACTCGCAATCAGCCAATGCCAAGCGGCTCGAGAAAGACCTTAAGGTCATTGAAAAGGCCCAATCCCAGTGGGAAACAGAGTGGCAAAAGACAATGACCAAACAAGGCGTTCAACTGAGCGAGGCTGATCAGCAAGAATACAACAAACTTAAAGAGGAAGTCAACAAGCGATCATCTGCAGAGCAGTTGAACCTTGACAACTTACGACGCCAAATGAAGACTGACGCCGAAGCCTACAACAGCCTGAAAAGCAAATTCGAAAGCACCGAGTGGCAGCTCAAGACCTTAGAATCAGATACAAGCTCCTTGACTGAGCGTAAATCGTCTATCAAGGAAACGGTCAAAACTACATCTAAAGATATCGAACGCAAGAAGAAGGAGTTGAACGCACTCACTTCCGAACGGCTGCGTGTTTCGCAGATGAGGACTGAACTTGAGGAGAAGCTCCAGGTTGTCTTAAAGAAACTTCTTGAAGCTGATGACGGCAAGAAGCAGACTGAAAGGGAGATCAGAACAAAGGAGCTGATCTCGACCCTGAAGCGTATCTTTCCTGGCGTGAAAGGCCGTGTCAGTGACCTATGCAAGCCGAAACAGAAAAAATACGCTGACGCTGTGAGCACTGTTCTTGGACGCCACTTTGATGCGATTGTTGTCGATAACGAGAAGACTGCCAAGGAATGTATCCAACATCTTCGTGATCAGAGAGCCGGCCAGGCTACCTTTATTCCTCTGGAGACTATCCAAGTTAAGGCATTCAATTCTAACCTGAAGGGAATGCACAGAGGAATGCGGCCAGCAATTGAAACAGTGGATTATGATGACTCTGTGGCCAGAGCTATCAGCTATGCATGCGGAAACGCCATTGTGTGTGATGACTTGGCGACAGCCAAGTATCTCTGCTACGAAAAACATGTGGATGCAAAGGCCGTTACTCTCGACGGTACAGTTATCCACAAGGGTGGTTTGATGACTGGTGGCCGAGGCCCTCAGCAGAATTCGAAGCGCTGGGAAGATTCCGAGGTAGAGAATCTATTCAAGCTCAAGGACAAATTGATGGCCGACCTTGCCAATCTGCCCAAGGGCCATCGTCGGGGTACCGAAGAGGAAACGCTGCAAGGAGAGCTGGTTGGTCTTGAACAGCGCTTGGCGTATGCCCAAGAGGAGCTTAAGGCGCTTGAGAGGAACCTTCAAAGCAAGCACAGTGAATTGGACTTCGTCAAGCGCCAGCTCGAGGAGGTGAGGCCCAAGTACGTGGAGAAGCAAGAAGAGCTTGCGGAGCTTGAACAGACCATCGCGACATCCCAGGAAACCGTCAGCAATGTTGAAGATGAGGTCTATCGTAAATTCTGCAAGCGTCTTGGCTACAGCAACATTCGTGAATATGAAGTTCAACAGGGCTCCTTGCATGAAGAGGCTGCCCAGAAGAAGCTTGAATTTACTACCCAAAAGAGCAGAATTGAGAATCAGCTCAGTTTTGAGAAGCAGCGTCTTCAGGCCACTCTTGATCGGATTGCCAGTCTGCAGACTCAACACCAGCGTGATCAAGATATGATTGAAGAGCTCAAAGAAGAACAAGAGCGCATCCGTAACCAACTCGACGAGTATAATGCGGAACTCGAAATTCTTCGCGAGCGTCTCGAGCAGCAGAAGGAATCTTACGCGCAATCTGCTGAAAACCTCACACAACATCGTAGAGAGCTTCAAAGGCGCAGCAAAGATGTGGAAGCTACATTGAAGAACATGAATGCATTGGAAACAGAGATCCAGCGTAACTCATCCAGCCGATACGCTCTTCTTCGGCGCTGCAAACTTGAGGATATTGACCTCCCTTTGAGCGAGGGATCAAACCCTCTAGACCAGCTCCCTATTGATGAGCTTGTCCAAGCAGCCGATCCGGACGCAATGGATGTTGATGAAGATGCCAACGGTGGCACTGATGGCGCTTTCACGGTTCAGGACTATGGTATTGAGGTTGATTTCGACTCTCTCGGCGAAACACTCAAAGAGGTGGGCTCTGCTCCCTATGCTGTTCCAGAATACATACTAACTTCGCCCTAGGAGTCCGATGAAAAGCTCGAAGAGGAGTTACTAGATAAAGTTCGGTCTCTGAACAGTGAGCTCGACAAGATGGCTCCGAATACCCGTGCAATGGAACGGTTGGAGAGTGTCGAGAATAAACTCCGAAGCACAGAGAAGGACTTTGAAGAGTCGCGAAAACACGCTCGAAAGACCAAGGAGGACTTCGAGGAAGTGATGCGCCAGCGATCAGAGCTATTCAACAAGGCGTTCACTCACATATCGGAGCAAATCCAGCCCATCTACCGCGACTTGACAAAGAGTAGCAACTATCCATTAGGTGGACAAGCGTAAGTTACGAGGATTTCGTATGTAGTTATTCTGCGCCTATGCTGATGAGATATTACCACTCGATAGGTATCTGGACATCGAAGATTCAGATGAGCCATATCTTGATGGTATCAAATACCATGCCATGCCGCCGCTTAAGCGTTTCCGAGACATGGAGCACCTCTCTGGTGGAGAGAAAACCATGGCAGCGTTGGCTCTCCTGTTTGCCATCCATTCGTACCAGCCATCGCCATTCTTCGTGCTGGACGAAGTTGATGCTGCCCTCGACAACACTAATGTCGCTCGGATTGCGAACTACATTCATGATCACGCTGCTCCGGGTATGCAGTTTATCGTCATCAGTTTGAAGACTGGTCTCTTCCAGAACAGTGAGGCCTTGGTTGGAATTTACCGAGATCAGACTGAGAACAGCAGTAAATCCTTGACCCTTGATGTGAGTTTCGCCTTTCTTTCCCCTCTATTGACATGTGGCGCGGCGATTGACTTTGGTTCCTCTTGCAGCTCCGGAAATATAATTAGACGACTCGGACTGGTATGATCGCCACCAAGGAAACAGTCCTTTCTTGATGATATGTAGAATAGTTCTTGATATTCTTTCTCTCGTGGTTCATAGCTACGATACTAGTGGTTCTTGCAACGGAATAATGGTTCGCTGTAGGCAATTGATTTGCTTTCTTTGATGTACAGTGGCAGTGCACAGTAGCGAAGCTAATCTGTCCATTGATTTCATACTCCCTACCGAGCCCCCAAAACCGCAGTTTTGCCCCTTAAAAGCCTGGCAGTCTCCACTTTTGTTGACATGAACATTTACCGACCGGTTGAGTACATATTCAATAGTTTGGACCCTCCCGTGGCATAAGAAAGGCACGGACTGCGTTGCGTGGAGGGCCTGGGTCCTTGTATTGGATTTCATCCGGAGCATAACGTGGACGTTTCAGCTTCCTACGAAGGTTGTCCAAGGTAAATTCCCTCGGCGGACATTTGCAGTTACATGAAAGGCGGATCCTATTGCAGTACGTAGTTACCATCCTTACTTGATGACAGTTCGGGATACTGCGCAGCGCGTTCGGGAGATATCCCAGTCTTCTATGTATGTTTCGGTGTAGTGGATTGTCTGTACAAGTGGCATTCCTCAGTCCATGCATACGAGGCTGGGCGCGAACCGTCGGTATACTAATGGCAACGAAAGACGATCCCAGACTGCCAAATACGACAATATCGTTTTGGCGGCCCCTTTTGGGCTTGGCGATTTGGGGGCAAAAAAATAAAAAAATAAAAATAAAGAGCTCGAAGTGTGGGTACTTTAAAATTTGAAGGCGAAATGGATGGGAGGAAAACTTCGCCACGAAGATATGAACGGATAGACCCGATACTCTGGGTCGAGAATCAATAGACTATGGAAACTTACCTTCCAGTTGCCTGCATTCCGTGCCCATCAGATCAGCGCTCGATCAATGGTGGGTAGGCATCTAGATCACTGATCGGTTGTGTCCGGCGAATCCTGCCAGCTGGGTAGGCGTACGCCACAAAGCGGTTGTGGATTGTTGCTATGTATGGAGGCGGGCCCAGTGGAGCTTGGGGGGTTCGCCATCCGAGTGGTTGCGCACTTCTTCAATCTATTAGGGGTACATGGAAGTCGCGCTTTCCGTAACCTACTCTGAATGCGCCGAGTGCAGCGGAATTGACGATTATATGCATCGCAAATCCGGATAGAACCTAGCTAGATACATTTGATTATGAGATGAGATCCACCTGGATGTAACCCGCGTTACGGAATACCGCCAGGAACGACTAATGAGGGGACCGACTTGAGCAATTGTCAGAGCGAGATCCTCCTTGTGGGGAGGTCTCTTGGATTTTGGTGCGGTTTCATATGGTGAGCCTCCCATTTCCAAGGCAAAGGATCATCTTCCCCGGATACGCGTTTTAATGAATGCAGATCAGTGCGAGGTCGATCTTCAGAGATAGAGTTTTGTGCTGGGAAACGTCGAATCTCCCCCGTAGGCTTGGAATATGGTAAGTATCGGCGAAGGATTTCATGGTGGCAACGCTTCGAATCACGTCAACAGCACTTTCCAGAGAGAAGTACGTGGTTGTTAGTCATGTTCTCCATTGAAAATTATGGCTGTCATCGTAAGCTGAGTCGGTAAGGGTCAAAGCGCGAATAGACAGGACATTTGCATCAATATCAGCAATGCGACAGCAATAGTGTACTGTGGCATAAATTAAGTATTGAATGTCATCTGTACTTCGTACAGGGGCAAGATTCTCGATAAGGATGCATCGACCGGTTGCGTCCGTACCAGCGGAATTCATCGTTAAACTAGTGCAACGACAATATCCAGGAGGTTATTCATCGAATGGTCGGTGTGGAAGCACGACGATCTGCGTTAGTGTGTTCGATATCTCATAAATCCACGGGCCAATAAGTTGGCTCGGACTCGAGGGCCAGAATACAGGTATCCAGGCCCCAATAGATTAATCGATTTCTGTCGGTGCTCAGGCTGCACTAATGCTGCTGATAACCATACTATCAGAAGATGAGTGATTGGCAGTTTTATCTCGTATTGACTGACATTCTATGAGCGCAGTTTGGAAATAAGCCAACCCAACAGTGTTTGGCAAGGCACCAAAAGTGCCCAAGCTCTGCACCCGTCGTGATTTCTAACTGTCAGTTTGTAACGCTACCAAGGCGTCGCTCGGGTCACCAATCTGCAAGCCATCCTGTACAGTGCCCACCATTTGATGCTTGCGTACGTGGCTGTCTTTGGTGGCCATGACTCCCCTGTCATAACATCGTCGTAGTAATTCGGTCCATCAATCAAATTAAGTGAAAAAAAAAAAATGTGAAAAAAATGTGGACGTTTGTAAAAGCGAAGCAATCACCATCGACTTTCCCCGCAAAAGAGAGGTGATATTTACTGCTTGGTTTTCCATTTGGCTTAACCCCCTGGTCACCATCTGCAGGAATGTTCTGAGTGCCACCGCTGACCACTCTATCAACTGTGGTCAGATAGCTACTAAATTCGTGTAACCTGTCCAGGACCTCAGGTTGCTTTTCCTCTCCCTTTGGTCCTTCAGCTGCCTCGATAAATGTCGCAGTCGGGGTTCGCCGGAGATGAGCGTATCCAATGGTGATGATCGGATATATTCTCCGTGGGCCGATGAAACAATTTGTGGTCTCTCCCCAACAATACGTTGGAACAAAGGAGCCAACTGCTGCAGTGTGTATCGTTCATGGTAAGAATGAATGTTCGGCTACGCTCGGGCCATTTCATTTTACTGGCCAAAAAACGGTATCTATCACACATGTCAACACTCAGAGTTTCTCCTGCATCGCCCACCATTGCAACATTTTCGAATTGCTATCGTTTTTGGATGAACTCTATTGAAATGATCGGCGGTCAAGCTGCGACTTTGATGTCCAATCTTCGTACAGGGTCTTGGTGGAAGGTCACGCCTTGAACCCAACTGACGTTGAGTCGGTACGAAAGGAGTTAATCCCACTGGCGGGTAATGGACCATGGTTCCAGAACGTAGCATGTCGAGGAGCAGCTCCAGTTTAGCGGCTTTCATAACGTCTCAAAAGAAAGGCTTTAGTCGCTGGTTGAAAGGATCTCCAGCGCCATTACCGAGCTATGGAGCGGGCCTTGTGGAGACACTAGAAACAGGTCGCGTTAGCCTCTTTCCATTCAAGTTGACGTTCAGATCTTTCCTGGACCATGTGACGCCCACTTGGAATAGGGCATCAGTGCCGCGGAAATTTGAGGGCAATCCTTTGAGAAAGTCAAAGCCCGCACTATCGTGTCAGACAGGCTGTTCCAGACAACTGACGGGTTAGATGATTGGTTGAAATGGTGCTGAACCAATGCCTTTCTAGTGTGTGTGTGCACCAGTCCTCTTGTTGCTTGTAGAACCCTCGTCAAACTCGGCCAGTCGAGGATGTCCATGCTTCATCCCAGAGGCATATACTTGGGTTACCACTCTGTCAGAACCCGTACTTGAAGATCATCATTCCGTTGACCAAACATAGTCTGATTAGAGTTAGGCTCAACCACTCTGCTATTGGTGTTGGTCTATGAGGCTGGCTTGATCTTCGTTTATCAACAAAATAGAACACACTAGTGGTTCAGAATGGTCCAGGCCATTGTTGCTTTTGGCGAAATAATGGGAATATACATTAGTATCGGTGCATGCAGCTTCCGCTCCCATAGACTGAATGGTTCATTTGGTCATCGCCCAAATAAGGAATGTAATTCAGGCCACCAAGCTGTCAGGTATTGGGAATAACAGCACGTCATTTCATCCCTATGTCTGTGAACACGACATCATCGATGCTTCTGGTATGACTTGGCAGCGTTTGGCGCCATGAACTGCCTCAACCTTTGGTTTCTTTTTTGGGGAAATGATGTCCTAGTCATGCACAAGTATGGAGCCCAGTCCCCATTAATAGATTAATAAAAACTTAGGTGTATAGTTTGTGGCTTCGATCTTCTGTAGGTATTTGTTTTCCTTGCATTAGTTTGTCAATTGTAACAGCCACAGTCGTGTTGACATAACCCATTGTTCATTTAGCATCGTACTTTTTTCACTCTTGGCCACGCACTCCAATAAGGGCACTGTTCTTCCTCGCCGTATAATATTTGGCTGCTTCTCGGCCGTAGATATGGTTTCAATGAGCCCCCTGAAATCCTAAATTGCTGAAGACACCTCATGACCTAGCTGTCCCTTTTTGTCTCCCTATAATAGTCAATTCTCGTTGTTATCCGAGCATTTACTTTCATTCAAACTATACCAGCAATAAGTGGCGTTAAACAGAAACAGCCCTCAGCGAGATACTACTTATCTCGTATAATGAGTATGACCAGTCCAGAGTACAGCATGGATGCGATAGGTCAGCCCATGGCTGCGAAGGAAGAAGAGCAACCGCAGATAATTCCATATCACGACATGACTCGGTCGAAGGCACCGGTATGAACAAAAGCCCCCCTACTGAATCGGACGCATCATAGTCTCATATGATATCATGGATAGGAATGCTCGCAGACGACAACATTCAACTTCCCTTACCCACACTTCGCTTTGTTATACATCAACCGCAATGGAGAGCTCGGCGTGGAAGCTTCATCTTCCATCGCAAGTTACGAGAAATCTATCTTCACGCACGACGTTAAGGAGAGGTTTCTTAAATCGGCCACGGTCGGATGGCAGCCCGATTTGCAAAGTTATCATGCCAGTAAGTGAAGTGGTAGTCGATGGGGATATCATAAGAAGAACATAGTAATAACCAGGATGATGTTCTGCGGCAGATTCCGTGGGTCACATGGACGGCGAGGTCAAACCCTTCTTATCCAACACTCCCTTTACTCTACAACAACATCATCACCACCAGCACCAGGCACCCTGGTATCAGCCTGAGTTAATTCCTTGCGAGTGGCAGTCACTGCAGAACAAGCGTCATAGGCGGAACCTCAGACGCGTGAGCTCCGATGTCCGTCGTGATTCGGATTCGGATTCTCCTGGCGCAACGATCAGGTGGACAGCGCTTCGACTTGGGCAAAAGGACCTTTTACGGACTTACTATGAGAAAGCATTTGAGAATTTCCAACAGCTTAACTGCAGAGCAATTGCAAAGGCCTTCGTCAAACTGGTCGAGCCCCGAAAGCAAGTCAACCACCCATACAATGGACGAAAGACTACTGCAGGGTCGTCTCAGCGAGTAGATCCAGAATTGACGAAGCCAAAATGGTGGCCTACGGGTGTCACACATAGGGAGCCCGATCATCTTCTGAAAGCTGGTAGGACATACTCGTTCCAGTCGCTTTCATCGAAAGCAGCATGCTGATTCTCAATCCGCTTTTGCAGAGCGAATCCGGCTTCTTGTACATATTCTGTGCGAGTTGAAAGACAGCCATGGGATAACGGCAGAGAAGCTCAAAGATGCCGGACAAGACGTACGGCGACAGATCATGCCGGCAGAGCGGTTGCGTGTATTGGATGAGATTTACTATGTTCGAGAGATGGAAGAGCTCTACCTAGACGGCAAAATCAGTATGGCTCCCTTGGCATGCTTCGTTACTAGAACATTTGGCAAGACTAACCACTGAAGCAGGCGGCGACACTATTATCCATGTCTCCCATGTCCATCTGGCCGAGAATGGCACTGACGCCGAACTGCATGAGAGTTCACCCAGCGACCACTCTAATCACCTGGTCAATCCTGCTGTCAAGTCTAAGCAAGATGCTTCCAACATGTCCGAGAGTCATAAGTCAAGCTACGACAGCGGCGTGCATCCCTCCACCGAGCACAACCAGCCAGTACGACCGCCGCTGGGTCAAATCGCCTGTGCTCCTTTATCCCCACTTTCAACTCCCTCTATTAGTCGAAAGAGTTCCTTGGAGAGTAGCCTAACGACATATTCTTCCGACCTGACTTCGTCTATGCTGTCGTCCAATGAGGCCAATCGAGTATATGCACCGAAAGACATCAATGCCACTGGGTCGTGTATTCCAGGTTATTTTGCCCAACATATCTCTGCACAAACTGCTGGACAAAATACTCAGACCGGATTCTGGAACAATATCCCTCAGGGGCATCAGACGCTTGCGTTTCAAGGGTACTAGTGAAGTTACTGGGACTATTTGTTGATCCCGAGTAGTGGAACATTTGACTGACCCAGCTCCATAGTGCGACCTCCTCCCATCGCACTCTTTCTTATCTTTTCCTTTCGCTTCTCTTTATTGGATAGATACCAATGTACACTTAAGGCATATGAATAACTATAAGTACGTCACCAGTCGATCATGACAAGCAAAATGTCAAGTGAATCAAACAAGTTCCTATTTTCCTCTGATTTTTCCAAGTTTCTAACCCCCACCTCCCTAACTTTCTGGCCTAGCCAACTACCAGTTCAGGCTACCCGCTTTCTATGCGTATACCGAAGGAAGTAAGGAACTTCGATTTGATGGGAATTCAGCAACACGGCATGAATTATGATAGCAATTACCATACTAGAGCTCTGCATCGCGAAATGCCAGACAACAGCCCTAATTGCACATGAAGATACATCACAAAGCAGAGCTATCCTAGCAAAAACAAACTACCCTACAGAAGTCATAAGCCCTGTCTCCTAAAGGCCGCTATAAGTACTCACGAGTGATAAATATAACCGCATCCTTGGTATGATGGCCATGTTTGCAAGCTGGGAAACTACCGGTTTACGGTTAACCAGCAGTCCAAGGTCTTCCTTCCTCGTCCACAGCATATCCGTACCGCGAAACCGAGTGGGTGCATTCCGCACAGGCTGGCCATGAGGGTGGTAGAACATATTAAGATGCCGGTATCCTTTTATCCCCCTCAGTGCATCCCTTACTGGCTCTAAGGCCATCTCGGCTCGAACGTCCCAATTCCCGTCCTGTTCAGCCTGCCCGACGACAGCGACTCGATAGCGCATGAGGAAAATGAGGGCAATATATTTCAATGCCCTGACATCAGTCGTAATGTGCTGCGAGATTCTCTCCAACTCCTGTGGGATCACAATGTGTACTGTGCTGAGACTTTCTAACTGTCGACGAATGGCAACCAGGTTGGCAACATGTGAGGAAAGGCGCCCAGACTTCATCGGGCGATAGGCGATGTGTTTTATATTCAGCCCAAGGTCGCGTGGTAGTTCCATAGGCCAAGGACTTGCGAACACGAAGACAAAGTGGGAGAATAGAGCCCGCTTGGCTACCCAGGCGCACACTTTGTCTGCGAGCCTGAGATTGTAATATGTTGACTCTGGGTCCATCCAGACGACCTTCTTCGTTCGGAGGTAATCTAAGTAGATTATTGGATGGTCGAGCCATTCGGCATGAGAAGGTGTCATAGCAAGTATGAAAATCTCATAGCGAACATTCAGTGGGAGGCTGTGGATTGTTCTCTTGCGTGGCATCTGGACGATTGTTTTAGTAAAATTGGTGTGTATGAAGCGAACGGATTGATTCTAAGTATAAGTGATATAACGGTAGAGGATACGATAGTATTTAGGAGGGAATGGTGGATGATGGATGATTCATATTCGTGGTGTGATCAAACATGACACCGGAATATATAGTATCTGGGACTGAATATGGAAGGGGCACTGGTACATCTCATTTGAGCCCCGTGCTCCTTTGGGAAGGGGCAATGCTAGTATTATTGACCCTAATCTTAAGATGCTTCCCCTAAAGTGTGAGCACCTTTCTGTCTTAACTTGTTCACACTGTAGGTACATGCAACATACGGATACATCGGTTGGACTAGCTGAGCTTGGCAGCTTTCTCCATATCCTCTCGTGTAAGAATATCCCCAGACTTTCGGAGAGGACTTAACCGTCCCATTTTCCGCAACTGGGCGATAAGACGTTCATCACCAAAGTGGCTGTTATGTTCGAACTCCGGCTCTTCTGCGTATGCGACCCGCGCAACATCCACTAGCATTCGAGCCGTCATTCCAAAAACCCGATAACGAGTCAGCACACCAGGCTTTTCCGTTTCCTTCAGGGCATTGACAGCATCTCTCTGTCGTTGGTTGGCAGTGCGAGGTTTGACCACTGACTGAGGCCGAACAGGGACGAAGAATTGGTGCACTACCTAGTCAGTAACGGCAGACAGGCAGAGAAAGGGGAGGATATCTTTCAGGAGGGGCGTTATGCTCACTGCGCCAATTTGAATGGTGCCACTCCGTCCAAGCACCTTGATACCAATCCGATGGACTTCCACCCCAGTCACCCTCATCGCTCATGCGTAAGAAATTGTGAAATGGCGCCGTGAACACCGCCGCAACTTCCCTGGCATCCAATTTCGGGATTAATGTCACTTCAGGGTCAGCATTCTGGCCGGTCTTCTCATCATATGAGTGGAGTAATGCCACACATGGGCGGACCACAAGCTCTGTTCTCGCAAGGTTAGCTGGCAATTCGCAGAGATGCTCCACGACAAAGGGCTGAGGAAGCGATTGGTCATTATCCGGCAAACCAATTTCTTCATGCGCCTCGCGTCGCGCTGTTTGAAATGGGGTTTCCTCTAGCGAGTCGGCCTTGCCTAATATGATTGGTGTTGGTTTAGTGATACATGTCGTTGGCCAATGTGTTCAGGCTTGCTTACCACCAGGTAACGCCGCTTGACCAGCGTCTATATACAACAGAAGTCAGTCGTTTGATATTTCGATCTATTTCATGGTATGCACATCATGGGATATACCCAGTCTGAGGATGACTTACACGAACTCAGAGTCTTTGCCCGCATAGTAAGAACTACCCGGAGATCCCCCTTAGGATCCGCATACAGCAGCAGCAAAACCGCCGCTCGTCGTGACAACGGGACCATCTCATAGTTGGTCGGTGGAGGCTTATACGATCTCAAACGATCAATCGCATCCTGTTGGCATGAGCGGGAATACTGTTGTTAGCTCGAATACGTCATCCCCTCGGTAGATTATGCGGGGAAACAAAACAGGGGTGCGGAATATGGAGATGATGATCACACATGGTACGATGGGAATTAATACAATACAGAAGACAAGCGTTATGGGATTAATCTAAACCGTCTTCTTTCTGCATTAAAATGGAACGATGGGGTCTTGAATGGTCTGCCATACCTGTGAGACGGCATTCAGACGTGGCATTTTCTGTACGTGGCTCGGGCGTTGAGTGCTAAAACTGCGAGGTCTCAGGATGATCCGAGTGATCGCTTGACTTCGCATGGCAGGAGCAATCGATGTTGATACTAGTTCTATATGAACTAGCTTGCGCTGAGGGTCGGTATTAGGCTAGTGAAGATGATCCGTCAACATACTACGATTTGCCGAGGTTATAGTGGAGATTCGATGGTCAGCAGCCGATGGATGTAAATGACAGCAGAGCCTCGTATACTGTTCCGTCGCAACATGGGGGCATACTATGCATACGGCTTCATGATGCCAGAAAGCAGAACTAAATGATACTTCTGGTCTATGAGTATCCTTTGTACCATCCTTGTTTCAGGCTACACCATTTTGTTCGAAGCACATCAAAGCAGGTATATTCCACATGGTGTCCAGGTGTCTATTGAGCCAGACATCACTAAATAATGATAAAATGGTACATGTAATATGACAAAGGGCAGATAAGAACTAGCCGCAGAGGCCAGTGGACCATGATCAAGCAAATTAAACAAGAAAGTAGTCTATCGTATCAAGAATAACACAAACAAGAAGAAGAGTGGGAGGGAGAGCAGATGGAGGAAAAGTCTATGTCATGCCGTGCAAATCCGGGGAGTCCTTAAGCGGAGGTCGTCTCCTTTTTTCCTTCTTTGGCCTGGGTCGATGGGTCTCTCAACTGCGCCTCCTCTACTTTTTCGCCCTCGGCCACAGCCTCGGCTGCCTCGCCGGACTGGCCCTGATACTTGGCTTCGATGGTGACCTCTTCCTTATCATCAATATCCTCATGATCCTTAGGCGCGGCGACGCCCTTCTCCTCGTTCTCGCTGTTCTGCTCGTTCTCTTCCTCAATAAGCTCTTGCTGCTCCTTGATGACCTCAAGACGCTGCTTGTTCGTGGCGGCACCCTCGGCGTTGTGCACCTCGAGTTCAATTTCATGGAACAGCTCTTCGGGAATGCTGGACAGCACCGACTGAAGAGCTTCGATCTGAGATGACATCTCTGTCTCTTTGCCACCCTGCGCGTACACATATGCGTTGCTCAGAACAAGGAGCGTAGATGGGACGCCTTGCTTGAGACGAAGGTCGAGCCATGTCGAGATATCATCGCGCAGACGAGCAGGGGAAACACCATGGGTGCGGATACCACGAGAGGCACATGCCATCTGCAATTCTGGCACAGAAAGAGATTCAACCCCCTCGTAGAAGATAGCGCGATCATCGCGCTTGATCTGCCGCATGCGGTGTCGGATGTTGTAACGGAGCATGGCATCGGTACCAAACGAATTCAGGTTCATGTACTTGCAGATACCAACCAACTGAGGCCGAGACAAGTTGTCCAAAGTCAGGTCATCTTTGAAAACCTTGCAAACTTTGATAACATCCTCGGTCGAAGGTGCTTCTCCGGTGGTCCTAATTTTCTTGAAGAATTCTGCGAACTCCTCATTTTTGACAGTAGCAGCAGTCACAGGAAGACCGCTTTCCTTGAGTGTATCCTTCAAGAAAGCAGAAACCTCTTTCCGTGTAGAGCTCAAACTCAATGCCTTCTTCTCGCGAGCTTTCTGTCCCTCGTACGTGCTCGGCAGCATATTAGGGAACAACTTGAGAGCCACAGGGAGTAGCAACTCCGCAAAAGGGATGATCACAAACATAGAGAATGGAACCAGGCGACCAAGATCCTTCACCGTTCGTTGGAGCTAAATGCATTGAGCAATTAGCATGGCCAGGCATGAAAGTAGAGGCAGGAGGATGGGGAGCGAACCTGTCGGTGTTCTCTTCTGCTCAGCTCATAGCCCGCTGCCATCTTCAATGCTAGTCTGGAACTAATTTTGACCTCCGTGGCCAAAAGCTTGGTGCCATCCCAATAGTGCTGGGCTTCCTTCTTGATCTTTTGCCCAATCGTCAATTTCTTTTGCTCCTTCTTCTCCTCAGCAGCCTCCTTCACTGCTCCTGCGTTACCTGACTTATCTTTGCTGCTCTGAGCATCGCTCTTCGGGGTAACTGGTAATTCAGGTTTAGGAACAACTTGTTGGTCATTTTTAGCAGGCTCTGAGACGATGGGCTTTTTCGCTTGCTCGGCGTTGAAGCCGGGCGGAGGAAAGCTCGATGAGGACGAGGTAGAAGTTGATTGCTCTGTAGCGTACCCACGGTGAGGGACTAGAATTGCCAAGGCTTGTATGTGAGATGGGAGGCCTCGGCCATTAATGCGGAGATTGGCGGCTGAAGATGCGCCCAATGCACCAGTGAAGCGTGGCCGGGCTGGTTAAGAATGATTGTTAGTCATACAAGGTGGCCCTCCCAGCAATACCAGGACGTAAAAGCAACGCAGGCAGTAGCGACACAAGCGTACCGATCAAACTGGGGCGCAATGCAGCATTGTTGCGCACAAGTCTAGCCGATCGAATGCTGACAGACATAACGGGAGGCGTTGGAAAGGAGGTGCTCCAAAGAGCAAGTGAGTATAAGATGCAGGGACAACAATTTCGACCAAAATGATACAGCAAGTTATACGATTTCACACAAGGCAGATAACACAAATGGAACTGGCACGAATATCTAAGGAGTGATGATGTGTCTTGGAGTTCTGGAGTCCAGAAGCGGTCGTTCACGTGACAGCGATACTCGGAGTTTACATTTTGTCGCCGCCGGAGTTTATCTCATCAAGTCGGGTCGCAATAAGCTTTTCCGATTTCCTCGGCGGCAACAAACCACCGGGGGCCGACTACTAGTAAATGCCTCACCAAAACCAGAGAGGGACTCAATGATAAACAAAAATAGAAAATATTATTCAGCGCTCTTTGGTAATATATATATAATAATAATAAGAAAGACTAACATACGCGGCTTCAGCTATGAGACAAAAGCGTATCTGGATATGAGAAGCGTGTCTCGTGAAAGACGATAGCAAAGAACGACTGGTTAGTGAGTTGGGTATCATTTAATTCAAGATTGCACATGTGAAGAATTCTCAAGTTGGTCAAAAATAGGGTGGAACGCTAGCGACAACATCAAAACGAGTAATTCGAACTGAGAGTCTATTTTCTCTCGCGCACTGTTGGGGAACCGGAAGCAGCCTCTTCGATGCCGCTCGCGGTCACGCTAGAGTCAAGCAGAGGAATTTTATCAATGCTTGCCTTTTCGGACCCTCCATTCTTTGCAATACCTTTAGAATCATCCATGATATGCGCCCCAGTGGCAACAGCGCTGTCTGATGTCAGAATAGTCGGGCTAGCCGTGCCTTCAGGAGAAGACTGCCACCGTGCGACATCCTTTTTCA